GTCCATCTGTCGAGTGTTAGGGGGTGGGCACAGGAGTTACAGTGGTACCCAATGTCTTCATATTGTTTGAATGGCAGCACATTGAGGTAGGGTAAAAAGAAGAATAATTTGAGCCACATAAAAGCGAAGAGTGGGAGTTTATTTGAGCACACATCACTGAATTTTCTCCAGGGGATCTCTTTGGGTTTCACATTTCCAGGCTGTAATCGATGCAAAATAGGTACAAGTCGGCACGCACACTGACTTAGCAAAACAAGAGCAGCAAGCGCTCAGATGTCAAATTATTCGACTAGTTAATGCAGCAACTAAATTGATTCCATATTATTGCCTAAGGTGCCCCTCACTCAACATGTTAAGAGACATATTAATTTAGCATATTATAATTAAGTTTAATCTCCAGGCCTCATTTCTTCTCTATGGACAGCTACATAACTCAGTAACTCAATTCAAAAATGTTTACTTTGTAATGTTATTTTATGATTGATACTCGATGTAATGCCAACATTACACTTTTTGAAAGTCCAATATTGTTGTTAGCACAGTGCACTTAACTTCAGAAAACTGTCCAATGTCTGAAAAATCTGGATCAGTCCAATCAACAAGCCGGTGTGCTATACATACAAGCTAGCCAGCAGGGCAGGGTGCATAAAACATATTCTAAATCAATATGCAAGCCGCTGCTGTTGCGACCCCAAAGGGAAAAATCTAAAAACCAAAAGGAATGAAGATCAGGAACACCATCCACTGAAACAGGGGCAAATTATCCATAATTTTATTCAATGTTACTGTATTTTGGAGTTGTGACAAGGTATACTGAAATAGTTCTCTCTCTCTCCTTGAGAAAACAAAGAAAAGCGAGCCAGCTCATCCCTGAATGTCACATGGGAAAGAAAGAATCCCTGTGTGGTTCTGGCCAGTAGAAAGTTCATGCCACTGCTTGTTTTTTCCTCTGGTGGGCTTTCCGAGTGGGGTAGCATGGCACGAGCACACTGAGGCGCCTTTCAGCAGACACATCTGATACCGCTGTGACTTGGAGCAGGAGTCGCACTACAGGCCGGGATCGACATGCATGGGTTAGTGGGTCAAACAAGGAGCTAGTCTTTCTCTGGCAGGGTCAGACTAATGTGATTTATCAATACAGCGTGTGTGTAAGAGTATCATTGTTTCTAATGGACATACACAGGCGAGACTTGTGATTGGCTAGATGGGGTAGAAGGTGTTTGCCAGGTGAATGTCAAAAAAATGCACCTGCAAAATTTATTTTAATCCATCTTAGAAACTCTCTGTGAAATCCATGCACAGATCTAAATGCTATAATGTAAGGGTCTTAAAAATAGTATCATCACTCATTTTGAGTATGTATTGTTCTAATGCAGTTCTTGTTCTTGTTGAGACTCAAAGTTCTTTAGAAATTGCATTAATCATTTACTCCTCTATTTTCTATAGTGGAAACATGGCAAGAAATCAAGTTTGTCAAGCAACTTTTCCAAAGACACAACTTATGCATTACTCGAAATAAAAAAATAAAAAAATAAAAAATGTTTTCTATCATGTCAGACAATTTCCAAGCACTTAGTTTTAGCTGGGAGATTGTATCTACATATTTTATCAAAAGAGTATACTGATGTGTAGAGAAGGCAAGATGCCACAAAGCAAAACTGCTCTAATGTACAGGGCGATGTGTTTTTTTGGCTTGGGAGACCAAAGACACAGAGCTCTGTTCCTTGACGCTGGAGATCGAGGCTCAGGTCAAGTCTCAGCTCTCTCTAATCCCTCTCAGGTGATGCTGTTCACATTCAGCTTTTTCCAGCTGATCTGCTTAAATATGCCTTCCTCATCCCCTAAAACACCCCCAATCACACCACTATCCCAACGGTTTCCCCCTGACCAGAATTGAGAGAAAAAAAAAAAAGCTAGCTAAGAACACAGATGACTGTCAAACGCAAGATCATTTTTCAGCATTCTGTCAAGCGATCAATCTTTGGACAGCCCCTGGCACAGAGACAACGAGTCGCCCGTAAAGCTGGGGTCTAATGGAATAAAACGGTCAGGATCCAGTGCTCCCATCACCTGGATTAGAGGAGCATCATGTGAGAAAGCCTTGTTAACAGACATGCCATCTTTGTAAGGCCTTTTCACATTTTCCGAAAGGCAAAAGTGGCAAAGGCAGCTTCTTGGAGTGTTCCTTCTCCTCCCTGTTAGGCACTTAATCAACGTATTATATTGCGCGCACGTAGCGTGATCCAACATTAACACTTACACCCTCAAACCTGGGACTTCGTGCAGGGCTTTGGTGGACAGCAAAATGTGATTTGTAGAGCTCAAAAAAAAAATACAGGTGTCCTGTACAAATTAAACTTACTTTATTTTCCCTTTTTTCCCACTTGATAATGAAACAAAGGACAATGGACACAGCCAGTTTATTCTGTCTATTTCTGCAAGTCATTTGATGCATTTGTGATAGGAAATATAATGGAAATTGAATTAGGGATGCAATAAGCCCCATGTTATTTACCCACAAATTTATCATCAATCATTTATCGGTACAAACAACACAATATTGTGGACCTTGAAATCATAAATAAATCACGTAGCCTGGTAACTCACCATGCAAAATGTCAAGGATCGCTAACCCCACTGCCTCCGCCCTATACCTTTTATCTAAAACTTTTGTCCTTAAAAACATTGGAGAATGTGGTATGCAGTAATGGATTACACACTTGCAAATGATCTTAAACAAGACGTTTCCTATTGGGAATTGAATGTTGGCTTTGCAGTTTCTTGCGACACACATGTGGTAGAGTTAACGGTATCACATGGCAACTTTTCACCACTTCAACTGCTATTACGTACCCATTACCTGTTCAAACATCTGGAGGCCCACTGCTTATATGTACTCCTCTAGGCAACATTTGCTACTCAAGCCTGATTTTATGTAGTCAGCAGGTGGCATCATTAGCCAGAAAATAAAATGAAAGTTATACCATAGTGTCATAGTTACACCATACGATCTCATGGCAGGCCTCATTGGCATTATATCCATGTTCCAAGTGGGCAGGATAAGGAATAAAGAGGTGCAAATTTAATACATTTTGCCATGTGTTTTAAATTCAAAATTACACCTATATAACCACAAGCAAATGAGATGTTGGGTCATGCCATGTAGCGTGCCAGCAAGACAAGATCTGCCCTCAAAACCACACAGCGATCACTATCTGCTCCACTTCAAATATTTTCTCCCTTCTTCTTTCAGACATATTCTAATTATAATTGCATCGACAGCTCTGGACACTTGACTAAGTACAAACCATAAATGCTCACTCATGCATGTAAAAAGGGTAAGTCAGTTATATTGTGTTTTGCTACATGTAAAACATGACCAAACTGAGGCCAAATTGAGTTTTTTGGGATGTGTCTGGGTCTCAACACTCCTGAATGGTTTGGATAGCTCCCTGTGCATGCCAGACAGACTGTATATAAAGCTGTCACAGAAACCTTGAGGGTTAGAAAAATATTCAGGCATTTCTGGGGCTATTGGACAATGGATCCCTTACACATGCTTCTTTCAATATAACCATGATAAATAAAGGAAGTAAGCAAATACCAAAAACTCTTGGCTGACTGCCACTTCTTTGCAAGAATGGCACTTTTGGCTCAAAAGTTTGCAGCAAACGCATACACACATGTACAGAGAGAGCACAGTGAAACCTGTACATTTTTGCACTGGATTACTTTGACAAGTGTAACATCCGTCCACATAACTCGCTGAAACAATGTATAGCTTATGTGGTGCCTAAACCTCTTCTTGGGGTCAAATGTATAAGTTAACCTTTTGATCTCATCCAGTGGTATAAGCACTCCTTTTTGTCTTACTCTGGCCCTCTCTTTCACACAACCTGGCTTCTAAAATGCACAGAAACTCTAACTTTACCTCCAAAATACCAGCCTTTATGCCTTCCAAAAAAGTAAGCAAGAAAATGGACTTAAATGCTGCACAAGATCACACCAAGAAATGCACAGAAGGGCTGAAAAACGTGTGTGTGCCAATACCTCGCAGTGACTGGCTGATTATTTGCAGATGGGCAGTAGAGGGCTTACAGAGTGTGGAGGTTCCCCCTGGCACGCAGCGCATATGATTAAATCTGTGATTGCCTTACAATTTACAAGACCCACTCCCCTGACTTCTCTCCTATAGTGTAACTTTGTGAGTCGGTTACCATTACTACCCACTAATGGCCTACACACCAGTCTGGTCTCACGGTCACTCGGAGGATTTGCGTGTTATGTCACTGATCTGATCAGGTCTCAGCAAAGAGAGAGGGGGTAACTTTCCTAATCCGGCTGTCTCCCAATTCATTCCAGTGTATTTACAAAAGGGCTGATCTCCCACAAAACTGCCTATATTCTCGCCTATACTGAGCAGCGACTGTCATGCAGACCCCTCCCAACTTTTCAAAATGGTTATGAGATCAATTAAAAGCAGCTTAACTGAGGCTGGAGTGGTAATCTACAATTTATAAATGAAAAGAGGTGACTCCAGTATCAATTTATCCAGCGACTTTCCTTTCCTTCAAATACACAGCAGCTTTTATCAGTTTCACGTGGAAATAAAACAGGGCGTCCTTTGTTGGCCACTTTGGGACCATAATATCAGAGACCACAGTTTATTGTTGAATGTAATAGGATGGTTTCAGACAAGCAGCCAATTTCCTATTAATTCTGACAAATGCGCTCGTTGCCAATTTTACGCACGCTTTACGCATTAAATGTGGGTCTTTAAAACATCTGTGAAAGTACTGTGAGGACGCTGACATAACGTGTTGAAAGTGATCTGTGCTTATGAATTAGAAACTGCTTTCATCAATATGGAGATGTAGGTGCGCTCGCTAAGATGCCCATACGGAGGCTGACCCTTATGTCAGCTGCACCAAACCTATTCCCATCTGTTAGAGTCACTGTCTGGATGTGGCTGGTGTAAGTATACTTTAACCTCATTTTACCTCTTTTGTTTCTTCTCCAGCGGTGCGACGGCGCCTGACAGTTGCTGTACTCCATACAGTTCAATATGATCAGGGCAAAAGAGAAGAGTCGAAACTGCATCTGGCCGGCGGTGTCGTTGTTCGGACTCCAGTAAAGAAAACGAGGAAGGTTCGGGTGGTGCGGATTATTTGGCTTTGACAGACTTTTGAATGTCCACCTCCAGTTTCCTTCTCTTCAAATGTGTCAAACATCAGACGAGATGCGACATGATAACACGTCGCCGGTTGGGATCATTTTATGCAGCGCTCCCAAACGCAGCCTTCAATCACCAGAAAGGATCTACTTTGTGATGCGCTAAGAGAAGAAGGAAAAGAGCAGGTTATTGTAATTGAACAATACCTTCCTAAACAATTGTATGAGTAAGGACTAAAACGGAGTTATGGGTCTTATAGATGCAAATGTGTTGAAACAATCTAGCGTACCGCTCAGACACCACCTCCAAAACGAGTGCGTAATAGTAACCGAAATCGCTCCTTGGAAAAGTATAGTCGTCAACTTTCATCAAATAAAGTACTTTTACGTTCCCTCGGAGTGCAAGTGTGGCTCGTAAACATGTAGCATCCCTTCTATGTTCAGGACAAACTTAGTTCTTC